CGCGCCTCCTCGCCCCCTCCTCCTCCGCCGCCGCTTCTTTTCTTTGCCTCCTCCTTCCTCCTCCTCGGCGTCCTCCTCCTCCTCGCTCGCTCTGTCTGGCCGCCCCCCCCGCCGAGCTCTCGCCCTCATGCCCCGACGGGCCCCCCCCCAACAATGAGACTCGCGCGCCGGACACCCCTTCCGCGCCGTTCACCGGCTACCAAGGCCGCCCGGCCTCCGCGTAGCCCAGGCCCGGCGGGGGAGGCGCCGAGTGGCATATCGCGGACGTTTTGTTGTTATTGGGGGGGGGCACTTCTTAAAGGGCCAGTAAGAGATGAGGCAGGGAAGTCGGGGGTCCAAGGACCTCCTCTTCTGCCTCAATCATAGTGCGGGTCAAAAGTAAAGGCTGAAGGCAGGTGCAGCGCCGGTAACTGAGAGGGCAGTGGCGCTAAGAGCCAGTAGCCCCAGCACTAAAGGGTGGTCCCAGGAGCTGGGTGGGGGGAGCAGTTGGCTGTGCCAGACAGGCGGAGATGCCAGCCTGCGCCCTGGGCAAGATTCCTTAAGGAGTTAACTCCCAAACCATGTGCTGCTGGGGGAAACTCCAAACCTCCCTCTCCTCCATTCAGGCCCCCGGCACAACCGCTCTCCCAGCCTCAGCTCTTCCCGGGAGGATTTTCAGGAGTCCCTTCTCCCCTGGGACCCTTCTCCTCCCTTCCCAATTCCGCTCCTCCCAGTATCCGGAAGCGAAGGGGGGTAACCCCCCCCACCTCTTCCTCCCGGAGCCGGGACCAAAATAAACCGGGCGGGAGATACCTCACAGGTAAACATTCCCCCGGCAACCCCGACACCGGCGGCGCGGGACATGGGGACTTCACTCCTTGCTCCCTGGACTCTCCCCAAAACTCCCTCAACTTGGGGTCGGGGGCGCGGGACTGGAACAATAGGCAAGAAAACAATGCCTGACCCGGTCTTGGAGGACCAAGCTGGAGGAAGGGGGGAAACGCGCCCCGCGCCGCGCTTCCCTTCAGGTGGGTGGGGGAGGGGCGCGCAGCCCGGGAGGGCTCGGGAGGGCGCGGCCCGGGGCACCCAGTGCACGCGCCGCCCCCGGGGTCCCGCCGCCCCCAGCCACCCGGCCCCCGCCGTACCTTGGTGGACGGCCACGCTGCACGCGTGCCCATCGCAGTAGACCAGCGGGTTCTCGGCCCAGCCCCTCTCGTCCGAACATACGCAGCAGCCTCCTACCATCTCCTTCATACTCCCATGAGCTCCCTCCGGGGCT